ACTGGAAAAAAGCGCCTGAAAATTTGTCGGACAAGGTATGGACTACGTTTTTTAGGCAATTTTTAGTAAGTTAAAATGAAAATTGGGTGTTTTGTAATCGGAAAACCATAACGCGCTAGAGCGACATGTTGGAGATGTCGGACTCGACAATTGCGCCCTCTATTTTGTCGGACAACCCAATTTGCTTCTTATTTAACACATTTTCTTTTAATTCAAATAAAAAATTTGTGTGTTGTAATCACAAAAGAGAACCCGCCCAGAACGACAGGTTTAAGTACTCGCAGTGCGGAAAAGCGCCCTTCCCATATTCTAAAAATTTTACAGCGTGGTAGACTCGTTAAAACGAAGCGATCCAGGCCATTTTCATGACTTTTGTAATCAGTTCGAAAAAAGGTCGCTGGCTTGGGGACTATATGTTTCTACATTAAATAACATTTATCTCTATGTTGATTTTATTCTTTTTGACGAATTTGTTGCAGCGCTCATATTAATATTAGCGGGTATTTTGCATATATTTCTCGTAAATTTTTGGCTATAGACAAACTGAACAAAATATATCGTTGTTATAAAAAGGAAAATGGCAATCGCATGCCATTAAGGTAGGCGTTGAACAAAATAATAGTAAATGCCACTCTGTAGTATTTTCGAAGCTATTACCGCCAATCCTTTGTTTTTTTTTTAAATTGGCCTAAAAATGGCGGAGTATGGTTTGCGGCGTTTGTTAGGAAACAGCCTATATAAGACTTTATAAAACTTACCTAACTTAAAAATAAACTACTCCCCATATCATCAAAACATGTTAATCATATGACGTCAGCAGCATCGTTAAATTTTCCCAAACATTGCATTGCGTTAATTTTCTTTTATCAGTATTTATTAACGCTTTTTTTACATCTCCGTGCGTCAGTAACATTCCACCGTCCCACCCAGCTAAGAATTACCGACATCGGCTGTAGTATATTTCCTTCCCTTACAATTTTTCTAGCCACCCTGTAAATTTTGTTAGTATGTGCGGCTTTATCATTATTATATGCTGAAAGTTACGAGTCGATGCAGACCGATCGTTGTGTAACAATGTGAAGCTAACCTAACGCTTTATTATTATTTTGGTTAGTAGCTAGGTCTGCACGATTGCGAGCATCAGTGTCCGCCATGAGGCAAAATGTGTCGGAAGTGAAGGGTAGAAAAGGTTTCTTTAAATTTAGATACAATCTTATAGTGGACGGTAACGATAAACAGAGAAAGTGCTCGAAAAATCTTGCAACAAGGTATTTAACCATCTACTGCTTTAACTAGTTACTTTATTAACAAATTGCTATGTTTGCGACATAAAAATTCTTTTACCTGCAAATATAATCGATTATATCTTCATTTGATAAATCCATTGTCACATCTAGGGATATTTCAAGGATTATTTAATTTTTTATTTTTTTCGTTTCAAAAACACGCTGATATATTGTTCCGATATGTAAAACCTACTACTGAATTTTTCTCTCACAAAAATATCTCGATTAATTTGATATTACAATTTATAATGTACAATTTTTTCCGCTTTCTTATATATTTTTTCTATTTTATTTCAATATGTAGCGTTTTATATATTCGCAATACCAGTTTATCAGTTTGTTTGTACAGTTTTTCACAGAATTTTGTACCTAAAATGTAACTCGATAATCAGGGCGAATTCGTATCATTTTAAAAAGGTAAATAAAAATTTCACAGTGTGTAAATAATTATCTGTTGTATATAGAACACTTTCTGAATGAATTATATTTTTATTGAAACTAATCAGTATCACATACAGATATTTGTATCATATGATTAGTTATAATTATTTGGGAAGGAATATTTTAATATTATGAATAGTTAGTAAGTCATTGTTTTATAATTTTTAAATACAGGGTGCAACTAGATCGCTATAAACATGTATCTGGAAACTTTTGGCTTGGAGACACAAGGTGTACAATTTGTTGGGTACTTTTAAATTAAAAAAAAAGAATTTTTTTTTTCAGTTTAATTTGTGGTTGCACACAAACCTATATGCACGGAACATATTTTTTATATACAGGGACGTAGGTCCGATAGTGGACACAATAATTTTGTCTAGTTTTTTCTTTGAATTACAACGCAAAAGGCTTTACAAAAAAGTATTTTTACTTGGATAATGTATAGGTATTCTTCATTGTCGGCTCTTGGCTGTCATACCAGGGAGGGCGGAAAAATTTAGGTACAAAGTATTGAAAAAAATTAAATATAATTATGTGGTTTTATTTTAAATAGTACATATAGGGAAAACATGCTCAACGTATTTTTTATCGTGAAAGTCCATTCTGCTTTTGTTCGAAATAAACTTTTTAGTTATCATCAAAGTTTGGTATTTCTCGCACCATTGATTTTTTTATAGATAACATTGCGAGTGCTGTTAGTCTGTCTTTATAATCTAATTTAAACTCTTACAGTCTTTTTAAAAAACGCAAGTCACAATATGTAGGTATCAAAATTTCACACCACACGTAAACAAATTACGTTTAATAATTAAAAAAGTGGTGAATACATGCAAAAAAATTTCTTGCTTCAAATGCACAACATTTAATTTTAATTTATCGCACATTATACTATATAAGCAGGAAAATATTTTCTTCTTTCAAGGAAATTATTTATTTATTTAAATAATTTAAATTTCAACCAGAAATATAATTTCTTACTTTCAAAATAGGCAGTATTTAAGGAGGTATATTGTGGTCCGAGGGAAGTGAGGAGCGCAGGGGGTCCTATGATTTTCTTATGGGATTAAAGCCCGCTGCCAATTTGAAAAAATTAAATTCTATTGAAATTATTTGTGATAAACATTATCTATATAGCAAAGAAATCTACTCATATGCACATAGCATACATATTGACTAATTAACAACATAAAAATATCATATTTAAGTAGTTTTAAATTATATTTAATGAACGCATAAAGACTATGTAGATGTGGCAACAGCGCTAATAATTGACTAGCAGTTGTACACACTGCGAACCTACAGACCTCGGACATCGGAGATATTGCGCGTCAAATTCGGGTAAAGATGCGTACGCGTTCAAAAATGTATTGTGTGTAAACTATGTACAATATAATTATTATATATAGCAAATATATCGTATTATCCTCGCGAAGATTTGTATCCTTTATTTAAAATCCGTAAATCATGTGAACTGGTAAAACAACGAGAATTATGTTAATTTAGTTCTAAAGAAATGAAATGACACTCGCGCCCATCTCTCGTCCAAGTCAAAGAAAATGTTGGATGCAATTTTGAAGGTTCTGTGATAGAAATTACATTATTACTCACTGTTCGTGTTTTTCATCTCTATTTTAGTAATGTTACAAAAGTTTTGCAACTATAACTAATTTTTTAGATATAAAGTTTGCTGAGAAATATTTATGTTCCTTTGTTACTCCGTACAAATGCTTTTATCTCAAGTATTGCTATTTATATTAATCAAGTAAAGAAAACTTTATGCAAACCTAAATATTGCTGGGTAATGATTACGACGTTTTTATAAACCATTAAATATATTAAAAGGATTTATCAACTGTATTTTTTATTCCAATAAAGATATCACGGCTTCCTAGTATTTTTTAAATAATCTAGTTTTTTAAAAACATTACAAAAAATCATCTGTTGTGGATAATTTATTGTTTATAACAATGTACATGAGATTTAGGAAAAATGTATATGTTTGAAATCAATTTCGTTTTTATCAAGTCTCAAATGTATTCCCTCCTTGCTGTCAGCTGATTGCGATTGATCCAAATACTTTTTTTTATATTATACGTATTCAGTGTTTTTCAAATGAACTTTACAAGTCGAGTTAAATTGACTGCATATTTTACAAATTTAACATTTCTTTTTAATGTCTTTCATAAACCAATCTATTTAATCTAATGTATTAAATTTTTTAACTACTAAAGTTTCTAAGTTGGGGGGGGGGGTGGCACCCCTGAGCCCACCCAGCATCAGCTGCCACTGTATTTATTGCTTAAAGGTGTCATAAAATCAAGTTTGGTGCAGTAATTGCAGTAGTCACATTGTCTATGAATTAATTAAATTAAAATTGTTAACATACATTGCGGCCTATTAAAGGCATTTTTTTACGTAGAATTAGAATTATTATTCTTTTATAAATTAGATGGCCTTAGTTTAGGGATTTATTTTATTAAAAATCTGAATAGTTAACCTTAACATCATGTAACATCAAGCTAACAACTGCTTGAAAACATGCTATAATTAAATATAATGTAAATAAATCAATTTTAAGGGACTCGAAGGATAAAATTATGAAATAGGCTAGGTAACACTAGCAGCGTAAATAGTACATACCGACGCGTTACTACGAAAACATTTTATCTCAAATTTAGCTTGGAAAACATGCTAGCTCAGATCTTTAATGCAGAATTTATTCTGAAAATAATTTTATATGCCTAATTCGGACTCTAAGCAGACTGCAATAAAAAGGATTATAATCCTTTCCACAGAGATGGCCAAAAGTAAGGAATAAAATTCATATCTTTTGAACGAGTTAATTTTTTTTAAAACGCCGAAACTCATTAACTGATTTTGACTTTTTCCCATCTTTCGGTTATATAATAATTAATTTTTCTTCAACCCCCTAACCCCCAGCTACCCCTACTTTTTTTTCAAATGGAAAAATAAGGCATGAGGGGGCGTGTTGAAAAGCTTATAGAAAACCGAATCCAGCTATACCAAATAAACAAGGTTTATTTTTTCAATAACAAGAATTTTTTTTCATTTAGAAATTGAAACAACTAGATAATTTACAAAAATAAACTCAATGTCGCAAATGCTGAAAATGTCCTCCATTCACTATTTGGTATTCTCCAAGACGATAGTAAAAGCTGTCCACAGCATTCTGAATGACTTCAGCTGGTAAATTATGCATCTCCGCCCTAATCTTGTTCTTTAAATTCTCAATATTATCCGGTCTGTCCTGGTAGACTCTTTCTTTCAAATATCCCCAAAGAAAATAATCCAGGGGTGTTAAGTCGGGGGATCTTGGCGGCCATTCAACTGTACCCCGTCTACCAATCCAGCGATTTGGAAACATTTCATCTAAGTATCTTCGAACATCAATACCAAAATGTGGGGGAGCGCCATCTTGTTGGAACCAAATTCTTTCATTCGGTATATCTGGATCAATTTCATGAGGGAAAATCACAGCTAGAGCAGGTATCAGGTCAAATGTTAGGAAATCCAGGTAGCGTGCGGCAGTAAGATTTTCTTCAAAAAAGAATGGGCCCAAGATTCTGTTGTTGATGATACCTGCCCATACATTAACTTTTTGTGGATGCTGCGTATGCGATTCGCATGTCCAGTGTGGATTTTCCTGGGACCAAAAGCGATAGTTGTGCCTGTTAACCACTCCATTTAAATAAAACGTAGCTTCATCCGAAAAAAGTACGTCTCGTTGAAAACCATTATTGTCGTCACACCGTCTCATCATTTCCTCACAAAATTGTAATCGCCTATCATAATCGTCTTCCAAAAGCTCTTGGACAAGACATACCTTATAGGGGTGGTATTTCTCTTGTTTCAGAAACATTCGAATTGCAGTTCGAGAAGCATCGTGATTGCGGGCCAATGAAACAGTTGAAGTATGAGGATTTTCAACAAGTTCTAATGCAATGTCTAATTTCTTTTCTTCATTCAAAGCACGTGCCCGTCCAGTTTTGGGCAAAGTCTGTACTGTACCGTGTTCCTCAAATTTGTGAAATATTTTACTAACTGTCCCTTGCGAGATTTGGTTTTCGGGATATTTCGCATTAAATAAATCGCGCACTTCAGCCTGACTTCTTATTTTGTCTCCACATCCAAGCAATATCAAGATTTCGATGCGTTGCCTTTCCGACAATACCATTGCAATTCAGTAAATAACTTGATTTTGACACAATAGTAACGTTTCGAACTCCAATTTACAACTAAAGCGAAAAATTAACCAGAAAGCCTGGCAAGTAAGTGGTACCAAAAAAACGCAACATAAAAAATATATCTTTTTTGCGTTAGCAGTGATAGGTACAGTTTCAAATTCTTTATTTTATTCTGTGCAAATTCATGGAGGATAACACTGAAGATAATTAAATTTTATTTCACTTGTTAAGTAGGTGTTTTATACAACCCTAAAAACCTTGCTATTGAAAAAATAAAACTTGTTTATTTGGTATGGCTGGATTCGGTTTTCTATAAGCTTTTCAACGAGCCCCCTCATGCCTTATGTTTCCATTTGAAAAAAAAAGTAGGGGTAGCTGGGGGTTAGGGGGTTGAAGAAAAATTAATTATTATATAACCGAAAGATGGGAAAAAATCAAAATCAGTTAACGTGTTTCGGCGTTTTAAAAAAAATTAACTCATTCAAAAGATATGAATTTTATTCCGTACTGTTGGCCATCCCTGTATAGTGGACTAGGCTAGGTCCCAAACTCCGGGTCCGAATCGTTCTAACTGCACCTCAATAAAAACAAATGTCTTCTTAAAGTTATGGTTGCCGCGCGCTTGCATAGACTATGGAAATGAAATGCAAGTATGCGACACTTTTATTACCGATACTTTATGATCGGCTGGATATTGATGCGACGGGCGCAGAGCATATGATATGCACGTGCACAGTTCCGAGGTTCTCCATGCACACATGTTTATCGTACATATCATTGAACTTTATATATTATATTTATATTTTGGTTATTATGTTAACTCTATTAATGAAATTTTATGAATAAATGATGGTTTTCTACAAATTGTTGCATCTTATTCTTATTTGAAAACTGAAAAATTTTTGAAATTTTTAATTATGCATTTATAAATACAAAGCTGTGTGTAAAAATCAAGACTATCTGAATGCAAGTCAAACTTACTTTTGTGTGTGATAGCATGTTTTTACTAAACATGTAAATGAAAACACCGCTTTGAAGAATATGTGAATAGGGGGGTACTTTCAAGGTACAATAATGTATAACAAAATTAATAATAAAGACTAAAAAAATAAAGTTCGGTTATTTTCTGAACAGGCCTCGTACCTTAAAATAGGTCCCAAAAAAATGTTACCTATTGTACATGACATACCTATTGTAAATTGTTATGAATAATTCTTTTATTATTTCCATAATTTGCAGCAACAGTGAACTGCAGATGCGAATTGTTGCTATTGTAAACTAGTACAAACAATTATTGGTTCAGTGGTTTTTGGTGTTACGTGGTTTAATGCAAGATCACGCCACCACTTTTATGACAAGACTGTATAGAGTATTGCAAAACTACATTATGGTGTTTTTATATCATAACATTTCTAACTAAATAATAATATTGTACAGGGTGGACACTTTTGAGGGTTTTCTAGTATTTCCCAATTATCAACAGTTTTTTCTATCTTTTCGGTGATTTAGAAAAACTCCTCATAAGTGTAGAAATTTATACATCCTGAACAATTTTTTATAAAATAAAATGTTTCAAAAGTTAAGAATACAATTCTTTTTTAATTTAAGAGTTATTCCTATTCGATTGAAATTTAATTTAAAAGTTTCAAATGATAACAAAAATTTACTCTTTATGGCAATGTCTGAATCCACATATTTTATTTTATCTTTCAAAACAGTTGAAGTACCTAAATACCATAACTAATACTATAATATCAAAGCAATTTTATTTTTGTCAAAATTAATTAATTAGAAAATTTTTATTTACTCAGGTTACAGTTGCAAAGTTCTGTATCTTGAATAGACATTTAACAGTTTGGAAAAAGGAAAAAATTCATAAAAACCATAAAGGGACTTGATATAATTCTTGATAAAATACTTTTTCAGATATATTTTAGCTATTTTTACTATGTTGCTATGTTGTTTTTTACAACAAAAATATTTCTTTGAAAGATTGCATTATTTAACAATTTGCGTTAGGTATGTTCTTTTTTATATACCGTCAACCGTCCGTAGCGTCGCCATCTTATCTTTTTCCGCTTGATAGGGAAGGCGATGTCCAGTTGGTTGGGAATTTCTTACAATATTGATTTTTATTTTGGATAATATTATTATTTAATAGTTATTTATCAGTTGTTGCTGATGTATATCAATGCTAGTTGAGCCATGTAGCTCACGGAGTAGTTGTTTCCTGCAATATCGACATGCAATATACAAGGTGTAAGAAGTTAGACTGCCATTACTTCAGTCGATTTTTTAGTACGAAGATAGTGTATGTGATTAAAGTACCCAAAGATTCACGTCATCCAAATAATCATACGTATTAAATATAATTTAGATAGGTACTTACCAAAAACCAAAATTCGGTATTTTTTAAACGCACAAGTACAAAACAAAATACAACATATCCTCAAAATGTCCACCACCATTTTCGATGCACGCACGACACCTTCGCATCCAATTTTCGCGCACTCGCTGGAAAAGGAAGTGGTACGCAAAAAACACTCAGACACGGTCCAATTCCAGATACCAACTGAATTGTGTATTGCTGGACAGCTTAGTACCTCGTGTTATCTGCCGCGCCGTTGTCACATTGCTCGATATGAATTTTATCGAATTTTAAATTTATTATAACGCTAATTATTTTTTAGAATTAAGCATAAAGAAGTTCAAAAAAGTGATAAGAGTATTTTATGGTACTCTATGCTCGCAGTAATGTCAATATTCCTTAATTAATCGAACTTTTGTGTATCAAGTTGGAGATTTTGATAATTTTTTTTCTCGGAAATGGTTGAGTTTAGGAACCATGTCATATAAGGTTTTTTTTTGTTTATTTTAATGTATTCTATCGTCTGTTAAAATTAAGTCAATCAAACTTCTGTGAAGTTAGATAATATAGTAAAAAATGCGAAAAGAAATTTTTATATGGACATAAAAGCAAATTAAAAATCAAGCTAAAAAAACTATGCCGATTCACTTAAAGAAAAATCAGAGTCAGTGTCTAAATCTGAGTTATCTGTATAGGTTATATCTGATCCTTCTCAATCTTCTAATTCCAAAGCAATGATCCTGAATGATGATCCTGAACAGATTCAATTTTTTTTAAGATAAAATAGTTATAGAAGGTAATGGTTACAATAACTCTTTATATTCTAATTTGCAAACAAAAATTCCATGTTTCCGAATTTTTCCGTTTTTCCAATGTTTCTGAAAAAAGAGTTTTTGTCGACGCTAAAATGTATGGAAACTTACATTGCAATAATATCGACTATTACTTGCGCAGGCAATAATTTTTTCACTTAATGCTCTCATTTTAACTACAATAAAATTGCTTCCATGTTGAGAATGTGCAGTTAAAATATAATTAGAAAGCCTGAATTAATGCCATACAAATCGTCATATAGTTTTTATAATTAATTATACTCAACAGATATTACATTGCATTAACATAAAAAAAAATCGTAAAAAGAAAGACTTCATTGAATTTAGATACATTCCAAAACACTTACCTTTTATTACAATAGACTATTTTCTATTCAACAAAAATTGTATTCATTTTCTTTTATTTGTGCGGCAGTGAATTGTCTAGTATGTTAATTAATTGTTTTATTTTATTGCAGCGCAAAATAACAATTACAATTTTGTGTTATTGAATGAAAAAAAATAGATATGGTAGTTATGAAAAAAAAAAACATTTTTGGTTTTAAGCGCATTTATTTATGCTATTATGTAGTCCTACGTAAAGTCTGGTAAAAACCTGATACGAAACATCTTAAAATTGATGAAAAACTTGATAAAAACAACCCCATATATTTTTCATATTAATTATTCTTAATTACTTACGTTAAGAAAAATAAAATAATTAAAAAGCATTTTGTCATATTCACCCATAAATACAGTGCCTTGCAGATAGCGCCTCAAGGGCATAGTGACGTCACCATAGCAGTATCTATAATAGGATCATATTCGATGCAAAGTAGAGCAAAAAGTTGTCGGTCTTTTATCAAAGGAAAATCGTGTCATCATTTTTAGGAGGCGTAAGGTGAACAATTTCAAATTTAAAATGAAATTCAATGTTAAATCTGAAATACCGCATCATACCAATTGTGTTCTCGTAGTAGCTAGTAGCTGTAGTCGCCCAGGTGCATCGAGTGTACGAAGTGGTCGGTTATACGTCAAATACTAATCTGGCGAGCTTGATCTTAAAACAGAGAGCGCTTCCAAAAAACAAGTAAACAACAGTGGCGCGTACGGAGGTAAAATGTAGTACATATGTGGAAATTAAAAAACAAATTGGATTTATAATAAATTACATTTAAAATAAATAGTTTATGAAAATAAATGAATTTTTGTAAGCATGCCAGACATGAATTGATCCCTTCGTCCCTTCATAATGTATAAAGAAATTATTCAATTTCTAAAACCTTTAAAAGCGAATGTCACTGGATCTCTTGACAGGCAATGATTTATTACTTTGCATCGAATATGATCCTACTTTAATTAATGAATAGTTACCAGGACCGGCTTGAGGGGGAAGGGGCTACGGGGGCTGTAGCGGCAGGCCTCGACAGGATCTAGCAAAATGAATTTTTAGCTTTTTTTAGAGTTTAGGTTTTGCAATTTCATATCGACAAGTTGCATGATCTTATCTGAAATTTAATATCAGTTACTAATTTTTTGTGTGTTTTGCAATTTAACACTTGCTCCTTATACGAAGATCTACGTGTTTATTTCGAGATTTATTATTAATTAAGAGAAGTTCTCGTTAGTTCTAATTATTTCTTTCCAGCAGTCAATTTCTAAAAACAGTAAATTATGGTAATGTTAACTTCGCTTAATTAACGATGAGTTCTTTTGAAATATGTTGGCAGGAATATGAACTAATGATGGTTATTTTGTTCCAGAGTAGCATTCACCACATGTAAAGTATTCACAATAATATTCACTGCTATATTTGTTATATTGCCCTTAATATTTAAGTATTCCTACAAGCTCCAAAGTGCAGTTGTATTTTTAAATTTTCGTAAGTATGAACATTTTAAATTTATTTACACGGGTACACACGAAAAAAGAAAAGTTGTCTGTACCAACCTATGTATCCTTATTCCATTTTTCCTCAATTTTTTTTAATGAAAAACAGCCCTTACCTTTAGTAGATGATTTTAGATTTTGAATGTAAAAACTGAATATTAAATTTTCTTAGAGCTGTGAAAATCTTTTTGAAATTAGCAGTACATTCAGGGTGACTCTAAATTGTGTTCCGATATATTAAAAAAAAAACAAAAAGGAACTTTATATAAACTGGATAATAAGGAGGTATACCTATTTGAAGGGGGTTGTAGACACATTTCGTGATACCTTAGTCTTTTTGAGTCATGTCAAATCCCACGTTACATAAAGGGTAGTTATACAGAGTGGCTCATTATTTCATCCCCAACTTTTTAATATTTACCCCCTTCTAAAAATATTGGAGAAAAGTATTATTCTCTATTATCTTGTTTAATTTTATTTTTTTGTGACAAACTAAACCGTTTTGAGAAATTCGAGTGTACATAATATGAAGATGTATTTGTATTTCAAAAGAAAATTTTTGAAAACTGAATTGGTGCAAATTTAAATTTTATATTAACTTGAATTTCTCGAAGATACAACAAAAATTATGAATTTTGCATCTGCCTTTAAAGGGGTATATCTCCCTTATTAGTATTAATTTTTGGGAAAAAGTATATAAAACGGGACAATACATATATTGAAAATATTGGGAGACTGTTTAGGACTACATATTTCCATATTTTTATTTTTTAAAACTGAACTGAGCTAGACTGCCGCATCGCACAAAATGAAACTAGTATATTGTGGCGCCAGACAACGTCTAGAGACATCGAATCCACTTTGCTCGGGAGCTTGATATTTAATTAAAATAATAATAATAAATAATTTGATCTTACCTATCTTTATGTAAATAGATAAATGTTTATACTACGTTAGGTAGGTCGGGTTGTTTTTTTCTATATACAGGGTGTCCCAAAATATGTGGGCAATCTCTCGGTTTATACAGGGGATGTTCAAATAACATGACAAGTTCCTATAAAAATTTTCCCTGAAAATCGATTTTTTTGTAATAACTTAAAATACTTTGTGTAATTTAATTATTTTAATAATATTTTTAGATAGCTTAAACCTTAAACTAAAAAAGGTGCTCTTGCTTAATATCGATAAAATGAACTAATTTCGAGAACAAACTTTTTTTATTTAGTATGATTCTTATTTCCTACATAATTTTGTATGTCGGTTCAACTTGAACTCATTCTAATGTTATGCATTCTCAAGGTCTACGAATTACAGATTACTGGATCAAGAAGGGCAAGCCACTGGTCCTCTTCTTTTTATCCAACGATTTTCGAAATGCCTGTTTAAGTGTTTTCGAACTACCAGACTAAAATGGGGTGATAACCCATCATGCATGAACCACGTACCATGTCGTATTGCTAAAGATAGGTCGTCTAAAAGTTTTGGCAAGTTGTCTTGGAGAAATTCTAAATAGGGTTCTCCAGTTAACCTTCTAGGCAATACAAATGGTCCAATGAATCTGTCCATATGTTAATGGGTTCAAACTGGTGCTGATGATGCGTCACAATAGAAGCATGGGGATTTTCTTCTACCCATAAATGCAAATTCTGGGAATGAATGATTCCATTTTTACAAAATCAGGCTTCGTCCGTAAAGAAAATTGAACCGATGAAATTTGCATTGTTACAGTACCTTATCTAGAAGCTAGTTTGAAAATTACATCCTTCGCGGAAAGTCTACAGGAAGAAGTGCATGGACTTTCTGTATGCGATAGGGATGCAGTTGTTGCTCTTTAAGGATTCTAAGAATCGTAGATTTTGGGCAATTAAACTGGGCAGCCAATTTCAGGATACTTTTCGAATGCTTCTACGGCATTTAGGATATCTTCTTCAGCAACCTCACCGCGATTGATTTGATTTCCACAATTGTCTCTGGGTTTGGCAAATGTTCCTAAAATTATTTACAGCATTTTAATTCTACATATTACCTACTCAAAAAGTACGCTAATGCAAGTAACAAATAAATTGTAATATTTACCAGTCTCTCTTAAGCGCTGATCCACTCTTCTTCAATTTGGAAATCGTTCCTCATGAAGCCTTCTGGCTTCTAAAGCATTACATGATGCAAGTCCATACAATAAATGCATGTCGGCATATTCAGCAAACGTAAATTCCATTACGGCAGATAAAATAAATCCGAGGAATAAAAAGTACACACATGTGAGAACAACAGGGTTTTACAACATGGTGAAACGGGAAACATTGAAAATTGAGCAACTTAAAAAAAACAAGGAAAATGTTACAAGTTTCGACAAACTCTATCATTAACTGACATACTAGATAGGTACTGTAATTCTTATTTAAATCGGTATATGTCAAAAAACAACCATTGCACCAAAAACAAAGTAAAAAACAAGTGTAAATAAATTTGCATTTTTTAGATAGGCACAGAAATAATGCAAATTTCATCGGTTTATTTCTCTTTACGGATGTAATAAAAATCGTATTAAACAAAAATAGTTTTTTCTCGAAAACAGTTCATTTTATCGATATCAACCAAGAGTACCTTTTTTTAGTTTAAGGTTCAAGCTATCTAAAAATATTATGTTTGTGTCTTTATCGTACAGAGTGTAAAAAATTGACATTACTGTGCTATAGCTAGTCCGGTCCTGGCAAACCAAATAAGCCAAATGGTTTTCATGGGTCAAATTTTAGTCTTATCTGTTGTCCATCGATTAAAAAATAGTTAAATTACACAAAATATTTTAAGTTATTCAAAAAAATCAATTTCAGGGGCATCCTTTAGGGGCCTGTATCTCCGTAAGGGGGCCCTTTAGGGAAAATTTTTATAGGAACTTGTCATGTTATTTTAACGCCCCCTTTATAAATCCGAGAGACTTCCCACGTATTCTGAAACACCCTGTATAATACGCACAAAAAAGACTTACATCGCAAAAATTATTCCATCATTAAAGAATATCTTAAGTGTATTTGGTGTATCTAGATATTAGTGTACTGGCTGTCCAGTCTAGCCCACTTTCATCGCAAATATAGATTTTTCTTAATAACGGTAATATTAGTAGATGGTTCATTTATTTTACAAATATTTCTTATTTTCAGTTCACATACCTATAAATGCTGACTACGAGCACCCTGAAAAGTATGGTCTAGAGAATGCTCGAAACTTTTATTTATTAACAGACGACAATATAAAGATAGGTGTGTGGCAGATACTTCATCAAAATATAACTTCTTCTACGAATTATACTGACGATCAGTATTATGAAGATATTTTGGGAAATGGTGAGAATGTTATTATTTACCACCACGGAAATGCTGGAACCAGATTGACACCTCATCGAATAGAATTGTACAAATTCCTTAGGAAATATTTTCATGTGATTGCATTTGATTATCGAAGTAAGTAGAATTTATTGTCCTGATTTCGATACAACGTTCTTGTACTGTATTTTGTATCCGTTAAAAGAAGGCTACCGAGCTGCCTATGGATTAAAGAAAGAGTAGCAACTAGCATATGTTATGGAATGGTTCTCCATTTTAAAATGTTTTCCTAACTTCAACATTAAATATTAGCACAAATTAGTTCGTCTAGCTCATCTTGTGCATGTTTCTATTATTATTAACTCAGATAAGCCTCATTATTTTTGTGAGTTCTATACAGGGTGATTCAGAATTTATCCGAAAAACTAATTTTTTATGTACAGTCTTTCCGAAGTCAGTTGAACATGTATAAAAAAACCGAGCAATGATAATAATTTGTATATAATGTGTAGAAAATTTCTGTTATATGTTCATTTGGCCAACAACATATTTTAATTATTTATGTCCTCAAACAACTTGATTATATTGATGGTAAATTTCGTTTTGTTCCGTTTCTAAAGGTCTCCAAAATTCCCAGCGATGTAAGGGTTGTAAATACTACAACTTCAATAAGTTTTTTCTCGGAAACAGGATTTTACAAATTTTTTTTTTACGATATTGACTCCATTTTTTCGGATAAGTTGTGAATCCTGTACACCGTCGAAGTTTTTGTGATAAACTGTATATTTGTATCATTGAGTCTTTCTCAAAATGTAAAAATATCGTTCTTAACGATATTTTCTACCACTAAAAATAATAATCATTATACAAGGTGTTTGTAAATAAATGCGAAATAACGAGCGTTCAAATAAAAACGTGGTCGAAGTTGGCTCTGACACATTGGACGTAGGGAGTAGCTTATAGCGACCAACTTAACCTCATTTCTCAACGAGCTGTATAGCAGCTGTCAGTTTCAATAACGTTAATGACTATATAACTTTATTTTAAAGAATAATCGTGATAACAATAACAAACAATTAAAGGAGCTGCGGAAAGTGTCCCCCTCCTTGTTATAACAATAAATTAAAGCAGCTGCTGAAAGTGTCCCCCTCCTTGTTCCAAGCACTTTTCACACCTGTTCCTCAAAGAATTAAAGACATTTTCTAAGATGCTCGGGGTATTGTTAATTTCACGAATCTTGTCTATAAGTCGAGCCTGCAGATGGTTTAAATCAGGAATAGGCAGTTCAAAAATAGTGTTTTTAAGGTAAGGCCACAAAAAGAAATCACACGGCGTAATATCACATGACCTCGGTGGAAATTCATGTTCAGCATTGAGACTTATTAGTCGATTTTGGAAAACTTCCCTCAACATATTCATCGTCTCGCCTGCCGTATGTGCCCTTGCGCCATCTTGTTGAAAGTAAAAGTTTGTAATTTCGTTTTCTTCCAGCTGGTTAACAAAAGGAGCGATAATTTCTTCTCTATACCTTTGCGCAGTAAGAGTACCATTAAAAAAAATAGGTCCATAAATCCTCCTTCGATTGAGAGCACACCAAACTCCAATTTTTTGAGCGTGTAGAGGGCCCTCGACAAAAAAGTTATCTGGTTTTTCAGAAGACCACATTCTCATATTCTGTGAGTTTACGTAACCACTTAAATGAAACCAGGCTTCATCAGAAAAAAAGGTGATATTATGAAGTTCACCGTAGTTGTTTAAAAACCATTCACAAAATACAGCCCGTCGCGGAAAATCAACTTCATGAAGTTCTTGCTGACAAGTTAAACGATAGGAGAACAAACGCAAATCTTTTTTTAACACTGTGTGGCAGGTACCGACTGATACTCCCACCATTTGTGATAAAACACGTACAGAAGTTCTTGGCGCATTTTCCATTATTTGTTGGACATTTTCTTTTAATTCTTCAGTCCGCTTTTTAGGTCGGCCGCTTCCTTCTTTTCTTGTTACACTGCCCGTTTCACGAAAAACATTAACACAACGCTGAACTGCACTTTGAAAAATTTTGTACTCAACAACGCCGGGAAATTGATTTTGAAATTCTATGAAACATTCCTCAATAGAATACTTCCATATTCCATCAATCTTGCGTCCATTTCTAAAGTAGGACTCTATGATAAACACTTTTTGTTCTTGAGAAAAAACATTTTAAACGCTTTTTAAAACGAAAATATTCAAATTGATAGCGGCGATATAGCACTTTGACATATGACGTTTAAGTTCATTTGCTACACGCTAACGCCAGAGAACACAATACCAACAGTGTTCTCTGCTAACGCCCTACGTCCAAATTTTCAGAACCAACTTGACCACGTTTTTATTTGAACGCTCGTTATTTTAGGGGGTGGTTGCCGAAGTTATTTTCTGAAAAAAAGTTCATATAAACATAGGTCGAAATATACTTCTTTTCCGAGATACACTGTTTAAATTTTAATAATAATACAACCATCAAGTTTCGAATCAATATCTTTAAAACTCTGAAATAATTACATACTTAATAAAACTAAATAAAACATTAGAATTTAAACACTGTATCTCGGAAACGAAGCATATTTCGACCTACGTTTATATAAACTTTTTTCACAAAATAACTTCGGCAACCACCCCCTAAAATATTTCGCACCTATTTACAAACAACATGTATATGGCAATAGAAGTAAATTATTACTATACCTAGTACATTTTTTCTGTAACTAGATTTTAAACATTTAGTAGATGATGATTGTTCATCGTAACCAACAGAGATTAAACGTAAAAGTACAATATAAAGGTACAAAAATACCTTTTTGCTGCTTATTCNTGTATATGGCAATAGAAGTAAATTATTACTATACCTAGTACATTTTTTCTGTAACTAGATTTTAAACATTTAGTAGATGATGATTGTTCATCGTAACCAACAGAGATTAAACGTAAAAGTACAATATAAAGGTACAAAAATACCTTTTTGCTGCTTATTCAAGAAATTGTTAAAGTTGTCCAAGAATTAAACAATTTACGAACAATCATACACACAAACGTTTATTCGATATCGTTTTACTAATGAATGGTTGTTGTCACAAAATATATATTTTTTTAATTTTCCGCGTAAAAACGGACAATAAAATCGGAAAATATTTGATTATATTTTTAGTTGCACTGTCTGAATTGACCGTCACAGAATCTTAATGGTGTGACCAAAAAAAACTAAAAATTATATATTTTAAAAGCAAGTTGTATGGTGCTATACTTATTATTTTACGATTTTTTGTTTGCCAGGCTACGGTGACTCTTCAAATGTAGACCCGTCGGAACCAAATATCGTCAAAGATTGCATGTTTGTTTTCAAATGGGTAGCTAATAGAACAAATGCTAATATATTTATTTGGGGTCACTCATTGGGAACTAGTCTTGCAACACAGTCAGTGGTACAATTACAAAATCAAGGATACAAACCTACTGGATTAATTCTGGAAGCGCCATTTAATAATATGCGGGAGGAAATTAGCGAATTTCCTTTAGCTGGGGTAAGTCGGTAATTCTAAGATTTTAATTTTAATGAATAACAAATATTGTCTGATATTGTTTGTAGCATAATTTTAGTTTTTTCTGTTTATTTGGATAATTTGAAAGAGTTATATTTATTTTAAAAAAATGCAGGTAGCAAAATATCCAAATAAACATAGTAAAAATTTCAGGTTTGTGAATATTTTTTATATTTGCAGATGTTTAAATATTTGCCTTGGTTTACGTACACAGTGGTGGAACCAATGCAAGCGAACGGTTTTACATTTCAAACAGATAAATTTATTTGTAATGTAGATGCTCCAATAATTATTTTACATGCTGAGGATGACCATGTCGTCCCATATAAATTGGGATATAAGGTAAAATTCAAAAATAATAAATATATTTTATTAGTTTTCATCCACAGAACTATATTTTCCAAAATGTAACGTTTACCCGATACGAGATCTGTTCAGAAAATAAACGAACTTTATTTCTTTAAACTTTATTATTAATTTTATACGCCAATCCATTGTGATGATTGGACCTTTTGTCTTAGTGTTGTAGCCATAAACCCAGCTTCGTGTCTCGTTATGATCCGTTAAATGAATATTTCATCGTCATGGATTGTTCTAAGAGCTGCCTACAAATGTCCACACGATTTTCTTTCTGTTCGTCCATCAAACGCGGAACAAATTTTTGATGCAACTCGATGCATGTTCAATTCAGTCAAAATTTCATGTCATGACCCAAATGAGACGCTAACCACTTCTGTAACAGTCAATTGGCGATTTGCACGCACCAGATCTTTGAACGTGTTAGTCATCAGTTGAAATGGAAGGCCTTCCCCGTCGGGAATCATCTTCAATTGACTAACGGCCACTTTTAAATCGTGAAAACAATTCGTAACATCGCGTATGACCCAAAGCAGAACTTCCGTAACCTTGTTTCAAAAGTTTAAACGTTTCCGTCAAAGTTTTCTCCAGTTTGACGCAAAACTTTGCGTTACTTCATTATTCCAGAAAATCGCACATTTAAAAAATCGTCACTTAAACACGTTGCACTCAGTATTACGAAAACTAAGTGAGAAATCAACAATCCACGAACAAGAACAGAGGAGGTTATGCGCATCGCAATGCTGCCAACCACAGAACACTTAAAGTGTACCTTTCCTATCCCAAAGTATGGGAACCGGTGAAGCCAAATTGCGGGGAAGTGGAGTGTGCGAGGTAACCTGGCCGCGCATACTTTGAACAGGTCCGGATTAAGCAATATTTTTACACTTATGACAAATATTAATTTTTCAAGTTTGGAATTCAGAAAATAATATATTTTATATTTTGCTTATATTATTAAATAAACCTACAAAATAATTTAAATACAGGGTGATTCATTAACAATGGTAAAATCGAAAGCTGAAGATACTACACGTAAAATGGTGACCATGCCTTATCCGAAAGTTGATAGTTTCGGAATTTGAAAGTTAAAATTTTAAATCGTATTTTTGTTGCGATTATTCTGAAAATATGTAGGTTAGGAACTTGAAAATTCGTGAAACTATATTTTTTTAAGCGACGAATAAGATGCGTATTGTAAATTCAGCGTTGCTCATAGAGGGCGCCACTTACGACTAATTTTACCGAAAATTTAGTTAATAACTTTTTACCCTATATGTCTAACATGAAACTTGGTTCAAAACCTGAAAAAGCAATCATTTTTCCATTAATTACGTACTATTGTTTCATTTCGGTATCTCGATGCGTTTTTGAAAAAAATAGATTTAACGAACACTATGTTTTGATAATACGAGAAAGTAATAGCGAAACAAACTAAATGTTTCTTCATGTTATTACAACAATTAATAATAAAACAAATGAAATACGTAGTAATGATTTAAAGTAATAATTGTTCGAAGAATCCACCCTTGACACTGATACACTTTACACAACGTTTTCCGAGAGATCTTCGAGTTTGAAACAACATATTGGGATTGCGTCTGACTTCGTTGGCAGCGATTTGTATTCTTTGCCACAAGTCTTCATACGAACCAATAGATTCTTTGTAAACGATATCTTTCATTCGAGGCCAAATAGAAAAATCAAGAGGATAAAGTCTGGTTTTCTAGGTGGCCAAGCAAAAATGCTTCCATGGCTTGAAGAAGTTCTAATTTATTTAAGAAGAGACATGTGGTTCGTGTGAAGAGTTGTGCCAAAGAATACGAATCGCTGCCAGCGAAGTCGGACGCAATCCCAATATGTTGTTTCAAACCTGAAGATATCTCAGAAAACGTTGTATCAGTGTCAACGGTGGATTCTTCGAACAATTATTACTTTAAATCATTATTACGTATTTCATTTGTTTTATCATTAATTCTTGTAATAACATTAAGAAACACTTAGTTTGTTTCGCTTTTAATTTCTCGTATCATCAAAACAGTGTTCGTTAAATCGATTTTTCTCGAAAACGGATCGAGATACCGAAATGAAACAAGAGTACATAATTAATGGAAAAATTATTGCTCTTTCAGGTTTTGGATCAAGTTTCATATTAGACATACAGGGTAAATAATTATTAACTAAATTTTCGGTAAAATTGGTCGTAAGTGGCGCCCTCTATGACCAACGCTGAAATTGCAACACCCATCTTATTCGTCGCTTGACTAATGATCACCATTTTACGTGTTCAGCTTTCGATTTTCTCATTGTTAATGAACACCCTGTATATTTATTGTCCTTTAAGTAATGTTAGTTTATTTAATATTTGTCTTTTACATTAAATATTTAAAATATTTATGATTTAATATTCATGATTTATTCTCACGAAGATATACTTTTCACATACAGTCCTCACAAGTTCTTATGCATATTTTTAAATATGTTCACATTCAAAAGTTTTTCAATACATGATACACAATTTTATTTTTCTGTGGCTTGGGTGTACTGTTTTTATAGGAGTTATAAAAAAATATTATTTCTATTTCTTAAGTTGTGATTTTTCTTTTTTAAACGACAGGTTTACTTACCACTCTTGGCAAGTTTAAAGTTGGCACTGCATTTTTGGGTAAATTTCTAACGCCGTTTTTATTAATAATAATAAACTTCTCTTGAAAATGCAAAGAACATATTACAGACGATTTTGAGGGCACCCAATCCTTTTTCTTAACGACTGCCCCATTCCGATTTTATTTCCACCATCTTTAGGAAACCTGAGAATAAAAACAAGAAAATGTGTAATACAATTTTATTCAGTAGGTAGGTAATCACTTGTAATTTAACATTAATGTATGTTTGTTATTGAAATTATATGTTGAGGGTTCCATATTTATATAAATAAAAATAATTATTTTTAATAGCCATCATGAAAATAAACACCAATTGTGACAAAAAAAAACTAATTGTAAATAGTAAATCATATGAGTGTATATTTATATCAGTTAATAACGTGGGTACTAAGAAACATGAAGCCAACACTGGAAATAAGTGCATGTGAGACGAAGAATGCTGCGCGAAACTGTCGAAATGCCATAAAATATTTTTATATTATTACTTACCTAAAGAATGAAATTTCAGCACTATTGAGATCGGATCTGCTATTACAATCGTCAACGATACACTTCCCCATGATTGCACAAATAAAAACAATGTACTAATAAAATAGCAACAATATTAACACAGTGAACAGCGAGTGAAAGCGCGAGGCTGGCTGGGCTGAAGTTGGGCTGACGCGACGGTTGACTTCGCCGGCTTGCCTCTACAATTCAGTCTATTGTCTATGCTTCCAACTGCATATCACTAAATATCTCCATTAACACGTAATTCAAAAAGTTCGATTATTTTCTGAACAGACCTCGTATATTAAAGTTTCAGATGAGGTTATTTTCTAATTTATAGAGTAGCAATTTTTAAAAAAGTCTTTTATCTTTTAAAATTGCTTATTGTTTACATTTCATTTTAGTTTGACTGAAAAATTAATTACTGGTAAAGCTTTCACTTAGAGATAATAATTTGTTCATTAATAAATAGAGTTAATTCCCACAAAAAAGAACCAAAATAAAATATGAAATATCAAGCTGTCCACTCTCTTGTATTTGTATATATTTCTATATAATTTTATATCACCCATTGGTATATATCATTAAATTTGAATGAAAAAAAAAAAAACAAAAACAGTTTCCGATTGTTTGTTACGTTGTTTATAAATATTTTTCAGCTTTATCAGAATGCATTAAGATGCAGACAAGGCGCGCAAGGTAAACTGTTATTTGTTAAATTCGATGAAGGTCATAATTATAATCACAAATTTATATGTAGAGCTCCAGAACTTCATGATATTATCAGGTAGGTAGCAAACAAATGGAATTATTTTCATTTTCTAATTATTCTTGTTTTAGTAACTTCATTTGTGAAGCAATTAGCGAATGCCGAGAAAAGAAACTATTGACTGTTTAAAACAGCTTTAAATTATATTTATGTGGGGGTTTTTAATGGCCAAAGATAAAATTTAAATATAGGTATTTATTTATATAAACGTAAACTTTTTTTAGTCTAGATGAATTGATAATCATACTGTGATTTAATCTATGTATTACCATCGGTACCTATATAAAAATTTTGTACAGATCTAATTAAATGCTCAATAAATTCTCGTATAAAAATGTTCTTTTTTATTTTATTTCCGTTATGGTTTGTGATAAGAAAACAGGATATATACAGGGTGTTGATGAACTTATGTCAAATATTTTTGCCACATATCCGTTATGTCAAAATGAGGTAAATACACGGATTTGTGTAAAATGTAATTTTAAAATCTGACTTACGGTAAGTACCTACCTCAACATTGCAAGGAGCCACCTTTTGAGAACTGCTGATTTTCATAGAAGATGTTCGATGCACTCACCATTTGCTTGCACAAAAGCTTCAGCGCGACGTATCCAATTCGCTCGCACGCATTGCAACATTGCCACGTCCTCTCGAATCGCATTACAATCTTCGTCAATACGATGTCACAGTTGATCGATGTCACGAATTTCCGTGGAATACATAATAGTTTCCACATATCCCCACAAAAAGAAGTCTATCTAACTAGGTTGCCGCGGCCTATCCAGCGATCGGGAAAAGCAATGCTTAGAAAGTGGCGCACTCTCCGAAAAAAGTGAGCGGGGGCTCCGTCTTGCAGTAACCACTATTTTGGCGAATATTTAATGGCACGTCTTCCAATAACTCCGGCAAGCGATTTTACAGAAAATGTAGATATGAAGCACCGTCTGAGCGTCTAGGCAATTGAAAATGTTTTATTAAAGTGTCATTAACGATACCGACCAACATGTTCGCGGAAAAGTGTTGCTGAAAGGTACTTACACCATTTCGACTAAAACATGCTTCATCTGTATCAAGTATTTGCGCTGTAAATTAAGGATTTCTTGCATGTTCCTGAAGCAACCATTCGCAAAAACCTCGACGTAGTGGAAAATACTCAGGAGTAAACAATTGAACACGTTGAATATGAAAAGGGTAGAAATGAGCTTCTCGTAATGTTCGCCACACACCAGGATGCGAAATATTTACTTGCTGTGCGATATTTCTGGTGCTACGATGCGGATCTTCTTCGACGAGATCTAAAATCATCTCGACATTTAAGATTCTTAGTTGTCGCCCAGGGCCACCATCGCGATCTCGACGCGGTTCTACTTCACCGGTGTCCAAAACTCTTTACAGCAACAAATGTTCGCGGTGCGAGGGCACGTCGTTCAGGATATCTTGCACAGTACACTTGACAAGCTCTGTAGACATTTTTTATTGCCTCGCCATAAATTATGAGAGCATAATATTCGCAATTGCTAAATATATGCGTCATTTTCAAAAGAAAACTTGGAAATACGGATACTTGGAAAACAGCACGGCAATCACTACAACTGACTCGTAAAAGGTGTTACAGAATTTTTTGTAAGTACTTACTGTATATATTTTAGCAGTTCCAAAACAGTTTTAAAAAATTTTTTAATTAGATTTTTTCCTTACCCTTACCTTAAGGCGGTTTTCTACTAAACTGACAAAACAAAAACAAAACACAAACTTGTGTCGAATAAAACGGAACTATAACTTTTCGCAAACTTTTTGAAGACTGGCGTGTTTTGCGACAGTTGGAGTTTTGTTTTTCGGGTCCCGCTCGAAAGCGGTCACATCAAAAGGTTTCGACGTATTTTGAAACTCAAGTCTGTTTAGTGGAAACGGTCGTGTTGGGTTTTCTATTTAAGTGATCCAACCCAATATCTATGTTGGCGTTTTCTTCTTCCCAAAAACAATATTTTAATCATTAATGAATTATAGCTATTAAAAAATATATGTGTGTACGGTTAAAGTGTTTACTTGGCTAGGATACAAACTAACCAAGTAAACACTTTAACCGTACATATACCACGAACTCCATCGATGGATATCTTCAGAGAAGCTTGGATAAAGTAGTATAAAATTTAATACTTCGAAGTCTCGAATGTATTCCGAATTTCACTCAACTTTCTAAGCTAATCTACGAAGCCGTTTGCAGAGTCCTTACGCTCGGAAAACCTAACAAAAAAGTAGTAGAATGGCCGAGAGCATCTAGCCGATCATCCTTGTAAAGCAGAAGACGCTGATCGGAAATCGGTATAAATCTCGTCTTTTGCCTTTGTATCAAGAAAAAAAATGGTATAGCAACAATGGCAATCCTGATTTTATTTGTTGTGCAGGATCAATAAACAAACCGATTTATTTTGTAAACTGTCAAATTAAATATATAAAACAAATTTATATGGTGTCGCACTTTAAAAGCAAGTTTATTTTATGTCTCCGAAGCGCATTTGAGCACATTTGTTTTTTATGTAGGTATTTCTTTATGATCACCAGAAAATTTTGTAAAATTTTACTCATCGCGACTCTTCCAGTGCAGATAAATATCGATTTGTTTATTCCAACTCACACATCCAGCAAATAAATTCGTTCATTACACTTTGGAGATGAAACCTACCTTTATTTATATCCTTGATGCAACCCATAATATATCTCTTAGAAATCTATGGGTAATTGCCCATAGAAGGCTTGAATGTGGAAATTATTTACTAATTTCATAGTTCGTGGCTAGATGGCGCAGCAGACATAGGTAATTAAAAGTGCCTTGAAGTATAGTAGGCTCTTGTTCATCCAAATATGGCGGTTTGACGCTTAGAGCATATACTACTGGAGGCAGCGAGCAGCGTCCCAGTGCCCGAGTAGCGGATGTTGTAGAGAGAGAAAGGTATAGGAGGGTAAGTTCTATTTCTCTCTAACAGCACGCCATTGGCTGCGGTCCTATAACCATCGCCCAATCCCCCTTATTGCATGCACATACTTCTATACATATACCAAGCGCTGCATATCTTTTACATAATGACCTTGTTCCCAAAAAGAGGGGATAAAAAGTGTATATACTTTGTCAATTTTGCGCAAGCCCGAAATTTAGCGGATTATTTCAAATGAAATTTAATAACTGATGTACTATTAACAGAGCAAAATTACCAATTATTATTTCGTATAACTAATTGTACAACTTGTTAATTGTAATTTATGAGAATATTAGATAGTGAATATAAAATAAAATGGGTACAATAAAACCGAATCGAGGAGAGTAAAAGTGGTTTATTTATATAAAATAGCAAATATTTTTTGAAATTTAAATTCAATATATCTACACAAGAATTCATATAAAAATACACATTATGTACAAATATACATAAAAATGATACGAGTTATCTACCTTAACTAACATATAAATAATAATAAAAATAAATCATATCAGTCATATTAACCTAAGTGTTTCGTGATTCACGGTACCAGATTCAATTTGATTTTCTAATATATGCTAAATATCAAGTCTTATTTTATTAAATATACAATGCAAACCTAGTCAAGATCTTAGAACACATTGAAACAGTGCCGATTTTAGATACAAATTGTCCCTAGGTATTATTTTTCAAATAAAATAGCTGATCCAGTTTGTGATCCAAACACAAGTAGGTACATTAAGTGTTGTTTCTTTATTTGAACATGATCACGTAAAAACCATGTTTGACCTTTCGCCGTATGTAGGAGATATGGTATCATATATAGCGGGCTTTGTATCTTCACAGGTTATAAAAATAATTTCTTGTGGCATTTAAAAAATTTTATATAAAGGGAACTACTCGCCTCCTTTTAATATATAACGGTAAGAGTTCACTATGAAACACGAAGTCTCATGCATTAGCAAAATTTGGAATTTCTAGCTACTGATTGGACACGTAAAAATTTGCTTTAGCCAATTTCATTAATACATTACCCTTAATTAATAAAAATCCTCAATCAATAAAACCTTAAGTATCCATAGGGTGTAAAGATATACATTTTTACTTATAAACAATGTTGTCTTCTTTTTTATTTTTTGCTAGATTCATCGCTTCATGCCAGTTTGTTCCTCTTTTCTTTAAGTCTTCTGTCACTACTTGGTCCTTGGTCCCATGTTTTTTATGGGTCTGCCTCGTTTCCTTTCCTTTTTTTTTGTTTGCCAAATCATTTTCAGCAGTCTTTCTATTCAAATTCATAACCTGTCTTCGGAAATGACAATGACGTTAACCGACAAACCGACCAATGGGAAAATTAATCATAGCGCGAGCGTATAATACACAAAGTGCAACACCCCCACTTTTTGGCTTCAATTCCCTTTCAAAATGCTTTGTATGTGTATAGAAGCATGTGATTGCATGCTACTAGAAAGAGATAGCAAATACCCTCTTATAACTCTCTCTACAACCTTCGCTACACTCGGCCACTGGGACGCTGTCTCCAGTAGTATATGCTCTAAGGTTTGACATATATCAATTTGTGCTATTTATAAAGAAATGTTTAACTTCGCTTTTTGGTTATTTTATATCGACCTATTTGTGCTACATAGCTAAACATCGACGCCAGAGGCGACGAGCAACTCCCAACCTAGAAAATTTGCTGAACCCCCACTTTGTCCTGAGATAGGGATATTTTACTGTGTAGACAAGGGATGGTATATGTCTTCCTATACAAACCTCGGGCGACATATACAGGCCACTAGAAAGTGGACGAGCATCGCGAGCTTTCCTCGGATGGTCACCGATCCAAGTACTAACCGCGATCAGGGTTGCTTGACTTCATATCAATAACATGAATGCCGCTAAGCCGCACACGCCCTAAAGAATAAACTTTTAAAATTTAATTGGTGTAGTATAGGTATTATATAAATTGAAACATATTTCAAAGTTGACAGGGATTTTGCCTTTTGCTCGAAAACGAATGTTGTTTGCGGTATTTTATCAATATATCTAAAGACTGGGCTAAATATAAAAACGATTTTTGTATTTTGAAATTTATGCTTATTTTAAATGTTTAAGAAATGACAGGTCATTAAATTTTCAAAAACCGCCATCTAGCAACGATGACTGACTATCACAAAAATTTTCTTTGTACCGCGGGACCAAAACCAAACTTAAAAGTATTTCTTTCAAGCAAATGTCCCCTTCTCCTCATGCTCTTTTTTGACCAATGCATCAAAAAGATTATAAATTGGTACAAAATTTACGGAGAGTTATAATAAAAATATTTTTGGTCACCCTAAATACACTAAAACACA